TGTTTTTGTTCTGCTAGACGACTTCTCTAGGTATTCATGGGTATTTTTCTTAAAAAAAAAAAGATGAAAATATCACTAAATTAAAAAAAAATTATCACCAAAATACAGATAAAGAAATAATTATTAGTAATAGCGTGGCTGGCGATAACACTGCCCTGGCAATGACAACGATCAGGTTAACTTTATGAGTGCATGCCGCTGATACAAGGCTGATTGTGATTTGGAGTTTGTTGTTCTCTGTGTTTGTTTGTGTTTTGATGTGAGTTTGTGATGCGATGTTGTCGCGTGGCTGCTTGCGGCATGTGTCTGCAGTCTTTTAGGCTGGTTGTGCGTGCTTGTGTAGTGCTTCGCACCCCTGCTTTTGCTTTTCGTTTGCTTTTGTACGTTTGGTTCTTCCTATTTCCTTCCTATTAATAAAACTTATATCACCATTATAAAAAAAAATTGAAGTGATCATGGAGGAGAATTTGATAGTCATCTGTTTGAAGCATTATGTGACAATCTAGGAATACAACATAACTTCTGAGCTCCTAGAACACCTAAACAAAGTGGGGTTTTTGAAATGAAGAATAGAACTCTAGAAGAAATAGGAAGAACCATGCTCCAAGAATGAAACTTACCTCAACATATGTGGGCAAAAGCCACTAATACTACCTACTACATAACTTATAAAGTGCTTAATAGAAGTAAGCACAAAAGGACTTCCTATGAACTTTGGAAGGGGAAGAAGCCAAATATAAGTTACTTCCATGCCTTTGGAAGTCCTTGCTTCATCCTAAACACAAAAAAGTCAATTAGGAAAGTTTGAACCCAAATCAGATCTAGCCACTTGTATAGGGTATTCGACCAGAAGCAAAGCTTACAGGGTCTTTAATAGAAAGACCAACAAAATTGAGCAGTCTATTCGTATAAAATTTGATGGAAGTCCACATCAAACCGAGGAGGATCCATTTGCAATACAACCTCTTTTCACAATAACAGAGTCTACCTCCCAAAATCTAGAACCAACAACTCCATTTTCTGATAAACCTGTTGAAACTAAACAAACATCTCATCATGCACCTGCTCATATACAAAAACGCATCCACCTTCCCTGATCATACGTGACCATGATGCCCCACTAGTTACTCGATCTAAATCAAAAAAATCTTCTACTCTTATCTCTATTCACTATTCTGTCCCAAATAGAACCTAAAAACATTAAAGAAACTCTATTATATGAATAGTGGAATCTAGCTATGCAAGAAGAACTCAACTAGTTCAAACGAGCCCAGGTTTGGGATCTTGTACCTTGACCCGAAGACTGGCTAGTTATTGGTTTAAAGTTGGTTTTTAGAAACAAATATGATGAATAAGGCAAAAACATTAGGAATAAAGCTCGTTTAGTTTCCCAAGGGCTATGATCAAGAACATAAAATAGATTTTGAAGAAACCTTCTCTCTAGTAGCCAGGATAAAAGCAATTAAGTTGCTTTGTGCATTTGCTAGTACAAACAAAATCAAGCTATATCAAATGGATGTCAAAAGTGTATTTACAACATGGTTTTCTAAATCAAGATATTTATGTAGAACCCCCTGGTTTTGAAAATCCTTTCTTTCCTAATCATGTTTACAAACATAAAAAGGCTCTTTATTGCCTAAAACAAGCTCTTAGGGCCTGGTATGAGAGATTAAGTACTTTTCTATTAAAACATAACTTCACTAGAGGACCAATAGACACTAGTATTTTTCTTATTATTCTTCCTTAGGTCTCCTCATTGTTTAAATCTACGTGGATGGCATAGTTTTTGGGGCCACATAAGAAAACCTTTGCACTTAATTTTCCAATCTCATGCAGGGTACCTTGGAAATGAGTATGATGGGAGAACTAACTTTCTTCTTAGGTCTCCAAATTCATCCAACTCCAACTATAATTTTGATAAATCAAAGCAAGTATGTCCTTCCTTGCTAGCAAAGTATAAAATGTCCAACCAAACCCTAAAAATCTCCCATTGCCACTTCTCGTCATCTAAATCTTGATGAACTTGGTGCCGCAGCTAGTGACACTCTCTATCGAGGTCTCATTGGATCTTAGCTTTACGTAGCATCTACAAAACCAGACATCATGTTCAGTGTATGTCTATGTGCTAGGTTGCAAGCCAATCCCAAGAAATACCATCTAACAACAACAAAAAGAATTCTTTGTTATCTTACCATACCCCTACCTTAGGACTTTGACATCCTTCATCTAATTCCCTAGAACTTATAGGATATTCAAACTCTGACTTCGCCAACAACGAAACTTATAGAAGTACCTCCAGCGAGTGTCAATTCCTCCGAGAGTCACATGTCTCTTGGTCTTCCGAGAGTCACATGTCTCTTGGTCTTCCAAGAGACATGTATGTGTTGCTTTGTCTACAACCAAAGTTAAATATCATGTTGCACACAACTTTTTTGGCTCAAACAACAACTCCAGGACTATGGACTCTCTATTTCCAATCAGCTAATCCTCTGTATTAATTCCAGTGCCATACACATGAGCAAAAATCCGGAGCATCACTCTAGGAACTAAGCATATTGTGATCAAATATCATTTCCTTCGCGATTTAGTTCAAACTGGAATTGTTTCCATTTCACATATTCCTGCAGATGGATGATACTAAACCCCTAGGTTTTGATGGTTTCACTTTTCTTAGCCAAGAATTAGGGATGATTGACGGTGCTACTCTCCTCTCCACATAACCTCTATTGAGTTTCCCTAGCAATATATTTTTCTTTCCTTTTCCTGTTATTTTCTTGCTCCATAAATACCCTCTACATGTTCTTTCTCTTGTTATCTCGCAAGCATCGCCTCTTTCGTCGCCTTTTTGTCTTCATCTTTCCTTATAATGGCTGGTTTAAATGCTATTCTTACTTATTCAAATGTTGAATGTAATTTCATCATCAGTCAAGGAGATTACCACTCCGCCTCCAGCATGATTCCCATTATCAGTGAGTATAGGCTTCCTCCCTTATCATCCTTTCTAGATGAGGTTTCCTCTCTCATCGCTAATCTTCGCTGGGAAGGATTCTTAATCTTCGAGTACCTCATTCTTCGGCCTTCTGTCCATTGGTTTTTTGGAAGTTGGAGGAAACTTCAAGCCACACTCATCTTGAGTTTAACTCAAATTGGGAGGAGAAAATTGATGAAGACGTCGACTTCGTTCTTGGAAGAGAAGGAACCTGTACATCTTCCTCTACAACAATGAAAGAAGAGCAAGGAGTAGCAATTTAACCCACTCTAAGCAAGGATTCTCTATGCATAAAAGAACCAAGCTTTGAAGTGAATGGACCCCTTCAAGATCCCCTTACATCATCTCTTCAAGAATCTGCACAAACCTTGGAAAACAAGAACCTTGAGGAAGTAAGGGTAGAGAATGAAGAGTTCACCATTTACAAGGACACACTTAGTCAAAAAATGGAGGATGACATACCTGAAGTTGGAGACCATGAAGAAAATTTCAAAATCTTAATAAAAATGCATCATAGAGTCAAGTCAAATCTCAATCGACTACTTGATGAGGATCCCTTTGCTGCATTTCTAGAGAGCCATGAGGTTGTACCATCTTATCTAATCCAAATAGGGGAATACATGAGTTCCACTTTGTATCGTTACCTCTACCATATGCATAATATTCAAAAATCAAAGTGGATCTTTTTCCTTTGGCATTAATTTAGAGAGTTACTGGATCTTTTTCCGACCAACTTCTGATATCATTCTCAACTTGTTTCGGTCCTCTTTTGATATTGATCCAGAGCTTCATGTCATGACTTGTAGAAAATCTTCCATGCAACCTTTCAAAAAGGCATAACTATTTTCGTCAAGTTTAGGTGGTTCTGTTGTAGATTGTCCTCAACTTGCGTGATTAGAGGCAGATGATTCATTAATCTTGCTAAGGAACTCATAGCTTTCATCTTGGATCTTGTTCCTCATTAGAGACCTTCTCGGATACCAATTGTAGGATACGTGTTGAGTGCTGAGATTCACTTAGCCATGTGACCACTCCTCCTTAGTCACCTGATCTTGGCCCAGTGTCCTAGACCATCCAAAAGATGGAGTAAGAACATAAGTGCATAAGATGAGAGGATTTTTAAACAACCGTACATTTTTACCCACATTCGGCAAAATACTGGGAATGCAGTAAAGAGAAGTTGAAGACCAGAGGCAGAACTGGAAGGAGGCGAAAGGCATTCGCTTATTCGAATTCAGAGACCAGAGGCAGAAATTTTGAATTAGAGACATGGAAGATGAGGTACTTTCGGCAGACATGGTTGTGTTTGAGTTCCATCATCCGTATGGAAGAGGGCTAGTGCATAGAGGAGATTTCACAAAAAAGAGAAGCTACAAAAGAAGCACAACTCAAGGGTGGGGTAGGGTTGTTTCATTTGGGAAAAACGGTGACATTTTAGTGAAACATGGAGGTCTAGTAGGTTAAACGGTTATCTGAGAAACTGTTGGTTACTAACCGCTAAATCGATAAGTAGTTTTTTTCTACCGACAAACGAATCCAAGAGCCTCTAACAGTTAATATATCATTAAACAATAACCAGTAGTTCTCGACTCGGTTAATAGTTATACATTGTCCTGCCAAAAAATAATGGGATTTTGGATTTGGAATTTTGCCAAAAAATAATGGAATTTTCACCCCTAATGTAAACAATAAATATGCATCATCAATGGTAAAATCAAACATTTCAACGCATAAGTCATAAAACACTAACATAATTCAAATATTTAAGTCTTGTAATAAGTAGAAACGTAAAAATCCACCATTTGGAGCTTGCAATTATAATAATTCGGTTTTTCGGTTCGGAATTCGAAAATTCGGTTCGGTCGAAAGGACCCTGGTTTCCAAAATATGCCCTTTTCTCTTTCGAATTCCAACCGAATAACATTAATTCGGTTTCGGTTCGATTTATATTCGGTTCGGTTTTACCGAACTGTATGCCCACCCCTACCTAAGACCTAGAGATTCAAAACTAGTCATATTACCAACACTAAACCAAGCACTTGTTCACACACTAAACCTACTTATAGTTTTACTTTTTGATATTAGGTGCTACTTAAATTATTCTAACTTGAGACCTTCAAATTCAAGACTAATCATATTACAGTAAGGTAAAGCACTAGTGACTAGACCAACCCCTTATACACACACCAAACCTACCATTTTGGAGAACAGAAAGCATCCCATCCACGGCTTCTTCTTTCTTCGCCCGCAAGCTCATCCCGGCTGCTCACTTTTAGCTTCATAAGTGTGCATACAACACTTAGCAATTGAAGTCAAAGCCCATTATCCAACTGGGAAGAGATCCCATCAAGTTACAACCAACACTAAAGACTGATTCTGCTCCCAGGACTCGGTATAAGGACATGCCTCTCTATGTGGTTAGCTATGTGAAAATCCAATTACACAGCCAGAAATCTCAAGGCTTAGATGATGCTGCATCACCGATGCTATTAGACGAGTAATCATGAGCGACATGAGGGGAAGAACTAATGCTAGAAGAAACAACACAGTTCTCCTTTTCCTTCCTCTGCTTGCCTTTCCTTTCTACAGCTGCCTATACAAAACCTTCCCACAGTCAGTATGTTACTCTGGTCTTTTAATGTCCTAGGGAATCACTAGTTGCCGGAAAGACAAAGAACTGACCTGCTGAGAAGACGATCCAGGCATTTTAAGTACAAGTTCAGTTGCAACTTCACCCGAGTCATCACAGCATTCCTCAATATGGCTATCCCCAGGGTGGCATACCAACTTGCTTCTGGGATCTGGTTTGCTCGAGCCATGGGAGGTAGAGGCGCTTTGAGCCGATGGCTGTTCATTAGGAGGGTTAGGAGGAGTCGGGAATGAAATAAAAGTCGGGCAAGTACCGTGAACAGGATTGGATGGAGGTTGATTTCTGTAAAAGGGGAATGGCTGCATTGGTGGATGCATGGGGATTGAACCAGGAGGCACTGGTACAGGGACTGCATATGAATAAGGAGATCCCATAATTACAGAAGGATCAACGGGACCCCAGGGGAACATGGCTCTTAATCTCTGCTGATACTGCATGTTCAGAGCTTCAACATCAGACTTAAGCGATGCCTTTTCCTCCCTCAACTCATTCTTTTCTTGCAGAAGCTGGATTGCAAAGAAGAAACTAAATATCACAACCAAAATTCTGTATGCAGAAACCAAACTATGAACAATGGGTAGATGAGATCACCTCACGGGATTCTTCTGTGAGGGCAGAACACTCGGCTTTGAGTCTGTTTACTTCAGATGTTAGATCCTTGAGAACTTGAACTGTATCGGTCAAAATCGTGGCCTTGTCGTTTTTAGGCCTATCAGGGTCTGCGTTCAAAACAATTATTCAGAAAAAGAACGATTGACGCATGTACTCCCAGGAGTTGCAGCAGCATTATGACTCAATTTTTATACCATAATAATAACTTTCGAAGTAAGTAGCTCCCAATAACCAGTGCAGGGATAGTAAGGAAAAGCAGCTGCCTACTGAACTGATACAAGCTTAAACTCCCCTTTGATTTTGCAGAAATGGCACTAGAACAAAATGAACTCAACTCCACTGCCCAAAGATAACATTTGACAATCCAAAGGAGGCTGTTGTTCTAAAGCAAATTCTTCCATCAGAAAAAGAAGAAGGAAACTAAAAGAGTAAAACTTCAGATTACCTAGAGTTTGACCCAACTCAATAAACTGCTCATTTAAACGGTCCCTTCTCAATTTCTCACGGTCTGCCTTCTGGACTTTTCTAGCAGCAATTGGATCCTTTGCTACCGCGCCCTGCCTCTGCCTGCATCAGAAAATACACCACAATCCACCACGAAAGCAGAAGGTGAGTCAAAAACAGCAATTCGTGGAATTCAACCCATCATCAAGTATGAAACAATTAGCGAAATTGAAGCTACAGAGTACAGATCAAAGCCCAGGAAGCAAAAACCCACCTGGGTTCAGGAGGGGAATCGTTTGATGCCTTGTGCTGATTCATGTGGCAACTTCAGAACAACCCCACCGGAAAACAATGAACCAGGGAAGAAGTTCAGGCACAGAAATGGATGGGTAAGAGTGCCCTCGCTGGTTGTCGTAGGCCGACTCGAATTAGCTTCAGCTCTGCAGTGAGGCAGCCTATCCTGATCTAGAAAGGCTGCAGGCAACAGAGAGCTGATGAAGGAACTCCCAGAAATCCCCAACCCCAAAGGTAAATCCAAAACTCTCCCACTTTTGCTCTCCACGAGTCCTCCATCCCCGAAATTAAATAAAAAAAATCTATTAATTCTCCCACTTGTGCTCTCCACGAGTCCTCCATCCCCACAATTAAATAATAAAAGAAATTATTAAGGGTCGTTTTTTTGTTTGTTTGATTTTGATGATGGATTAGGTTTCCAAATTCAATTTTATTGAATTCTTTTAATTGCTTGTAGAAAATGAAAGAAGCAAATCTGTTGGACAATGGATTTGAATGCAAAATTTATAGGAGATTTGTTTTGTGGATTTAAAAATGAAAATTTGGGTAAAACCTGAATTTTGAAATAATTTCTTTCAAAACTAATGAAAATATCAAATAAAAAGAATGATTAATTCCAAAAAAGAAAAAAAGAAAGAAGCAGGATTGGTTGGATTAACCCACTTTTTCGTGTATATTCTTTTGAAATTGAAATTTCGGATGTTGAGGAATTGAACCTACGAATTCGTCAATTATGAGTTGGGCGTTTTAACCATTCAGCCATGGATACTTAGCAGGGATCACAAACAGAGGACTGTGTTCGGTTGTAAGAGACGTGAGTCCGCCTGCCCGACGGACCATTCTTTGATTTTAAAAAGACATTATTATTTGTTTCATAGATTTCATACAAAATTTTGTTAATTAGATTTATAAATATGAAGGGGATGAGTTACCGTCAGTTCCCCTAAGAGGGATGTGAGATTCACATCCAAGGACAATTTGGGTATGAAAAAAATAGAATTTATTATTTATTTATTTTTGTATTAATTACAGATTGGGAATTAAAAACTCAGATTAAATACTTTTTTTTAATTTAAATCCTACAATTAATACACTTATATAAATATATATATATATATATATATATATATATATATATATATCTTTCTTTTCCAGCAACCTCTTCGCTCCGACCGCCAAACTTTCTCCGACCGACGACTTTTTCCGGCGAAATCCTCCAATCAGACTCGCTCCGGCCATTTGCAACAAAATCACTCCATCAGTGCGCTAGTGGTACTGATTTTCATCTAGTGGTACGCTACCAGTGGTAGTGGTATGTACTAATGGTAGTGGTACGCTACAAATACCACTGGTAGTGCTACCAGAGAGTCAGAGTAGTGGTACGCTACCACTAGTAGCGTACCACTAGACAGAAATCAGTACCACTACTCACTGGTACCTCTACCACTACCATTGATAGCGTACCACTAGACAGAAATCAGTACCACTAGAGAATAACATAAAAAAATAAAATCTGGAAAATCCCAGATCTGGAAAAATATATATTAAGGGATGAGGAAAGGAGAAGGAAGGGGAGAGGTCGTTACCTCGCGGCGGCAGTAGAGGGGGACGACGGGAGAGAGATGACAGTAACAGGAGTTGGAGGGCGAGAGGGCTGCGACGGGAAGAGCGTTATGACACGACAGTGGTGGGAGGCGGAGGATGCGACGGCTGCGGCGGGATGGAGAGACGGTGGCAGCGGAAGGGAGAGATGGCGACGGTGGCGACGGGAGGGAGAGACGACGACGGTGGCGATGGGAAGGGGAGGTGGCGATAGCGACAGGAGGGAGAGACTAGAGCGGTTAGGGTTCTCGGGAGAGGGAAGAGAGAAGGGAGAGCGGAAGAGTTTTTTTTCTCGGGAAATCAGATTATATAGAAAATGAGAAAGGATCATGTGTGGTAAGTTTTTCTCTTCCAAAAAATCCTTCATTTAATCTAAATCGTTAATTTAAAAAACCAAGGGAGAGACAAGAGAGAGTGGATCTAGTGGCTGTGAAGGAGGAAGCGAAACTCACTTCCCCCTTAGGGGAAGTGACGCTATCTAATCCCAATATGAAGTAAAATTTACATCATCATCAATCAGTTGTCAAACCGATTTATACCATTGTGCCGGTTTGGCAAGTGGAATGGTACGACCGGTGGTATAACCAATTTGTGTAGGTTCATGCCAGTTTAAAAAAATATAAAAAAAATTAATATTCAATGTATTTAATCATATATAAAACATATTTGTGGACAACTTAGTTACAATCCAACAAATATCATCAACTTTTAACTATTAAATTCATAAAATGAATAATAATTATTATTTGTATTAATTAAATTAATTAAAATGATAATAAATAATTATTTTTATTAATTAAATTCATTAAAATGATATCATTTTACTTAAAATGCATAAGTCGATCATATCAATAGTGTCATGTCAATTTCATGACCGGCACAAGTTGAACCAGATTCAACCGAGTGGCATGACAACCATTCATCATCATTTAATTGGAATGAAAAGATAAAGCATTAGTGCTTGTTTCTTGCCATCTGTCGATCTATCACAACTACAGAACAACGTTTCGTAGTTGATGTTCATTACTTGCTAACATTGGCTACTTCAGTTTATATAAACACTTGTTAATTGTTATCAATTAATTCTTAACTCCAGCTTTTGGTATTTTCAATGCACTAGGAAGTTACTTACAGTCTTATACCCTTCAAAGCTGGGATTTATATCCCACCTTTGAAACCAACAGTAAGATATTTACATGATGTAAATTAGACTTTTAAGATTTATTAGCAAAACCCATGAAAGGGTAAGATGGTAAATTACATTTTTTAGTTATTCTACCTATATATAAAAGGTAAGTCTTTGGCAGTAAATGGCTTAGGGATGGACAGATTTTGGCAAAATCTTGATTTTTAAATCTAGCATGCAAATGACTCCTCATTTACATTTGGTGTTTCTTAGTGAGCTTCTCTGGATAACCGTTACATTGATAATATATATACTTGTAATTTTTTTTTTTTATCCAAGATAAGCCCCCAGGGCATGGCCGGACAACAAATATATAAGAAAGACAACAATAAAGAACGGTAGTCCGTATGCAACCGGACTCCCGATGAAAGAGCCTTTTATGCCACAAGATGGGCAGCTCTGAGAAAGCTCGGAAGAGCAAAAAGACACGAAACTGATTGAGGAAGAGAGAAAGAAGAGAGTACTTCCCCATGAATACCCCGTCTGAGAGGAATAAGCATTGGAATTGCATCCAAATATGAAAGCGAAGGTAAGATCCCTGCAATAATACAAATAAAATAGCACATATATGGAAATACCAAAAACTATCACAAGATACAGAAACGAAGGCAAGATCAAACTTACCGGATACAACAACCAAATATGTTGTACAAAATGAATAAAGTAAACGACAGACCGGCCGATTACAACAACCAAATAGAGTAGAGAGCAAACTTACCGAAGTAACAAAAAGCCTCCCATCTCAGTTATTGATAAGCCAAATAAATGACAAAAAAAGGTTACAACAAGCTAACACACGGAGAAAATTAAAACACACACCCAAAGTAAAAAAACCCAACCCGAAAAACCTTACCCAGAGAAACTAAACGGACACTAGAAATCAAATAAAAGTTAAACCCAAAATGAAAGAAATAATAAATGACTGAAAGCAAGAAAATTAATCTAAAAAATCAAATACAAAGACAGGCCAAAGCCAAAAGTTACACTACTCTAAAAAATAAAAAAGAAGTTAAAGAACACAATTTGATTAGGAGGAAACAATAAACGTTAAAATGAAAGGGGAGAGCATTAGTGCCACTAATGCACCAAAAGCAGGAAAGTAATAAAAGTGAACATTGAATACAAAGTAAATTCAATTACAAAAATAAGCAATTAATAACGGAGGAAAGCAATAAAAGTGAACATTAATGCAGTTTGACCGATAAAGCTCAAATTTGAGCTGTAAGGAGCAAAAAAGGGAAGAATAATCAATTACCCGCTGCAAAATAGGGAAAGCGGAATGTTAAACGTCAAATCCGTGCTAAATTGCCCTTAATTAAGGCTGGACAAGAATTCAAACTCGCCTGAGCTTTGATCGAAAAAAGGTGAGCAGCGACGGCCGGGAGCATGCCAAGGGAGATCCACGGTAATTATTCCGGGATTGACAGAGCATCTCAACTTTGCCTAGAATAACATCAAATGATGAATAAACTTAACCATGTATTCATCTCAAGGAGAACACATGTTAATCAAGACAACAAGCGTTGTAATCAGGAAACAGAGTAACAGAGCTCTGTATAATGACAGACTGTGATTAGTTTTAACCATCCAAGGAACTGCAATGAGTGGCGATGGAGGCAAGCCCGCCGATAATGAATTCGTCGCAGCTCGGAAGAGATAGAACATCAAACCATCAAGAAAGAAGAGGGATAGGTAAAAACTGCCGATAAAGCAAATATATCAATGATGCAAAAGCTCCAAGTAAACAAAGAAACGGAAAAACAAATCCAAATTGAAGGAATAAGCAAAGGGAGGAGGATGGACCGCCATATCGTTATCCTTCTGCACATGGCCAGGTTCTAGTGGGAAACCATCGTAATTGATGATACAACAATCATTGAGCCAAACGCTCCTGACGGCCTCGTTTCAATCAACAGTTACCGCATTTTGTCTTAAAATGATGCTTCATAGGAGAAGGTCATCCTGGAACGGCACGCTTCTAAAGTGATACAAGTAATTATCTCAAATAGTGAAAGAACTTTGAACTTTGTACAAAACCGTCACAAACTTTCATTTTGCACAAATTGGTGTTATGGGTTTGTACGTATAACAAAATGGGTCATTTCATTCATTTTTCATCCAAATTATGTTCAATTGTACCAGTCAGCAATCCAAGTTAGCACAAATATTAATAAAAATATTCGCCTAACCAACCACTCGTACCCAATCCGCCCAGACCTCCAAAACCAACCCTACCCCTTCACATTGAAAACAAATCCTTCATTTACTACCTAATTCCCAGAATTAAAACACAAGAATACAAGACCCATCCTTTCCTTCCCACTTCCCACAATCGTGGTTTCCTTCTCTCAGAACCCACCTCCTGTCAATGGCGGATCCAGGAACCTGGACACCCTTAAAATTTGGAGAGTTAACTAATTTCGGTACTAGTTTGATTTTGGAACAGGGGTGTATCCATGGTCCC